CAGAACACTATTTACAGTCCCAGCCTCGGAGGAGACAACAGAGCAGTGGATTTATTGATTTATTTAATGTATATTGCTGCTGCCACACAGATCTAAAATAAACATGAGATTTATTTCCCAGCTGTTTACCTTTTTTGTAACTCATGTGTGTTTTTAACGTAAACTTGTGTGTGAATGAGAACTTAGTTTAGTACTCACATGCTGTGACAGCCGCTTTCTGTCCGTATGCTTCGGATGTGTGCGCTCAGAAAACCGTATATCAGAAGTTTAAACTCATATGGTTCAAAACGCATGATAATCATGATAATCACAACCAAAACAGATATTTTTCAGCAGGTACGAGCTATAATGGCACAGCTCTATTCTGGAAAAGGGGGCGGGGAGCAGCAGCTCATTTGCATTTAAAGAGACAGGCCCGAAAAACAGCGTGTTTCTGCTTCCACTCAAAATAGGCATTTTCAAAATGATATAAATCTCTATATAAAAACTTCACAGACACATTCTGGGGACACCAGAGACTTATATCACATATTGTAAAAAGGGGCATAATATGTCTCCTTTAAGACAGTGACAATGTGCTACTTTTCCATTGTTTTTCTTTGTAAACATGCTAGACGAGCGTTTTTGACCATTGTGCTCATATCTTTTGCAGTGTCTCGCACATGAGCATTTTTAAGACGCCGTGTCAAGTTAAAATAATTTCAACTTTTACATACAGTGTAAAACAAAACAGTGGACCAATCAGAAGACCCCGGAGGTGGTCATTGCAGGCTTTTGTTTACAATAGCAAGTTGGCATGGCAACTGTTTTATTTGATGGCAACATGGAAGAGAAGGCATTCTGCACTGTGTCTTGTGTTGTAGATGCAAAAACATATTCTGTGTGAACGGGCCTTAAGGATGTTTTGCCCTTCAAGTCTCCCTGCCAATCACCTGACTGAAAACTATGAATTTTTGACATGGGAAAGCATTCTGTTAATCCGCTATTGACTCAACAAGTAGTGTGCCTTTGGGCCAGAACTATCTGTTTTTACAACCACTGGTAGATGAGGGACGTTATCTGGAAACTGATTTGAAAACAATAATTTTTACAATTTTGCCTGGTGACACAAGTGGCACAGAAATCACACACTTTGGCTTTAAATTATCTTACAGTACCTTCTGAGTAAATTTATATTAATTTATTACTTTAGTCAAACAGCTACGATCCTTAGCATTTAGCACTACCCACAATCCAACATAAAGTGACCATACAAGGGGAAGATTTGATCTAATTTTTCATATCATGTGATAGTCAGATGTGTAATTTTCTCAAATAGCATGTTTCTTTCCAATGTAATTATGTTTTATAGTTGATCAAAGTGAGGCAATGTTAGGAAATATCCCAAGCCACAATCCTCCCTTCACTTTTAGCTAACCTCTAATTAAACATAAAAAGATGTAAGTTGAGAATGATTTTAGCAATGACAGATCTCTTCAAGTCAAACACTGCCAGTACAGGAAATGAGCAATTTCATTAGGCTGCATTTGGTAAATGGCACAATTATTGAGAAAACTATAACTTTCATACGGAAATCATTTCATCAAGTCAAAAAGTCACTTCAGTATCAGAGGAAGTGAAACAAAATCTTAAGGTTTGGCATCCATTAACTTAATAACATCCTTCCCTTTCCAGAATGAGGCCGCAATGGCTTTTCACACCTCATTTGAATCCTTAATTTTAAAAACAGACTGTTAAATGATTACAAATTTGGAAAGTTGGTGCAACAACCCCTTGAGATGTTTTGCTTAAAAGGCACAGAGCCACCACAACAGAGAACCGAAGGATTCGGAAGTCACAATTTCTCGCTCTATATCGCAACAGACTTCAAAGGAGGTCTGGCCGCACCAATTACAAGACAGAACAGCAAAGGGTTGAAAAGAGTAACTCAGCTCAGACGGAAACATTTTCTATGGAAGTGGTTTGCTGCTGATAGACTCTGAGGGAGGGCTCAGGTTTTGTGTGATCCAGCTTTCAGCTGTTCCGCCGCCACATTGTGAAGTGGGCTGAATATGTCATGACAACCTCAATCATCCATCCACAAGTGTGTGAATAAGTGGTGCTGTCATGTATAAAGAGCTGTGTCTTCAAGACAGAAGATGGTTCACAATCTAACGCAATACTTGCTATTTATGTACCGTCTCAAATTGCATGGTATACACACTGATAGAAATAGATACAACTGCCATGAGAATTTGTACATAGAGTGAAATTTGTAGCAGATCTTAATTTATAAATGTATTTCCAATCAAAAAATGTCCAATTTTCTAGAACTGAGTACTGTCTTATGAAATGCAGTCTGTCATATTGAGTTAGAAGCGGTACGCATTTGCATATGTTTCTACATTTTCAGGCCACAGCTTGTTCCAAGCAATTAGTTTGCATCAGAAATGTTGTGAGTATGTCAATGTCCAAATTTAGTGTATGCCGCCATTTTAATATGTTAGCATTTATTGTTATGGCAAAGCCATTAAAATAATCGTTTTTTGATGCGAAGATATACATATACTCACGCTGGATTGCACTCATTCAGTTTGTGTCTTGTTTTCCCTACAAAACAGGATAAACCAGTGCCACCAATATTCTGAAACATATGTCACACACTCCACTTAAGGATGCCTCTAACTGCCTGAACAGACCACCATCACTATTCCGTGCTGGTTCTAGCAAACACTGAGCCATTTTCTTTGCTCAGCATCAAAGGGTAGTTCAGAATGCAGGCCAAGGTTGGTGTGCAAGATCTGCAACAGTCCTCAAAACCGAACAAAAGCTCTTTAGGTGGGCGTCTTGCCCCAGAGAGACTGCATTCAATGCTCAGTGACTAAGTAGGGCACTGATGATGAGACATCCAATGTTCTGGAAACACAAAATGTGTTTAACGCAAAGACAGCCAGAGAGAAAGCTTGTCGGTGCCAAAACTTGAGTGTTGAGCAGGCATGGGGCAATTAACAGACCGACCAGAGGAGTCCGAGAGAGAAGCCTTCGTTCTGAAACACTGCCCTAGGATGCAGAAGTGCTTTAAAATAGACCCCTGGAAACACTTCGCTCTAATGGGAAGTGTGAATCTTATGACACCTTGTTTCTTGACATTCAGAACACAACATGAGCAAACCAGTAACTTACATGCGGTTTAAGTAAACAAACATCAGATTTCCTTTAATTACATGAATCATTTAACCAAACACTGCATTGCAAGCATGTTATTCAACGTATTATGTTGACAATAATGTGGTAAATGCTGCGTTAATTTCAACAGACTGGCACAAAAAGGGGCAACCACCTACACCAAATTTGCTATACAGTATATTGGTTTGAACCTCATCCAAGACTATAAGCAAACTTGTTTTTATTGTTTATGGCTATTAATTGGCATAGATAACAACATTTGCAAGTATTCTAAAATGAACACACAGACTCTAGAGGTGAAATTTTACATTGACTCTTCATGTAGCCTATGTTGAAACATGACTTAAGCTCACGACAGGAACTGATACTAAAAATTCATGTTGACATAATTAAATTAGAATTTTATATGTATTATTATTGGAAGTCAAATGTTTTTAACCTAATTTTATATATATATATATATATATATGCTGTTTTTGCAATGATGCCATGTTAAGCATTCATTTGTTAAGAATCCTCTTTACCATGGTTATGTAATATAAATTGCAGAAAAATAACTGTTCTGTGCAATTTGTATAAATTACCCATATTTTGGCCATACCATCCATCCCTAATTCACTATGTATATTTTAAAAACTGTCAGACATTTTATATTATATCAGTTACTCTTATCGAGCTATTATCAAAAAAGCTGTTATCGGTCAACCTCTGCTTAAAACAAACAAGAGTGATACTCAGTAGAAATTCTTTATACTTTTTTAAAATCAGTTTTCGCTTCAGTCTAATCTGACCAAATTTCAATTGAGGCCCAAATAAGTATCATTCAAACTTGTAACCTGATTTCATGTAACTTTAAACTATTTACCAATCCATCCTTTTCCCAAACAGCTGGTCCAATTTAGGGTCGTGGGGAGCCATAGACAGGGAAACACCATTACAGGCCTTACAAGCGTAATAGAAACTGTTTAACATAAGGCCTTTGGAAGGTTTTTTTTTTTTTTTTTTTGTGAGGATCACAAATGATCTTACAAAGAGGCTAGCTGCTGAAGATACTGATATCTTCAGATACTCAATATCATATCAGATATTGAATGTGTTAAGCAAATCGTTGTTTTCTCAAATATTAACGCACATTTTTTTCTAGCTATATTTTCATATTTGAGGCCATTCATTTCCTCTACCTTCTTCGCCATGCATTAGTCCTTTGTTGCACTGTATTTGCTGTCATATCATGCTTCATTACTGCTCACAATAAAGTTGAATGAACAACACGCAACATGTTACATGCATCATCACTAGCAAGCACTGGCTGAAGCAGAGAGAAAACAGAAATCGGGATATTGTGAGTCTCCTGATGTCACTCAGGTTGTCCACGGCCCATTACAGAGTTCTTGGATGCATCTGGTACTGCAGAAACAGCTGACACAAATCACAGCAACAGCTGACTGCAACAACCCAACCAGTGGATTGCCAAAGTGGTGCATAAAGAACCAGAATGAGCTCAAAATTCACACCATGATGTCTGTGAATGTAGGGTAATAGTGTGTTACCGTGAATGAATGCAGTGGGCTGGTGATGCGCACATTCAAATGCAATGTCATATTCCAAATAAATGATGTCATGTAAAAGCATTCAAAGTGATTGACCTATATATCTTAACCTGCCAGCTCTATCTGGCTATAAAATCACGTCTGCAGATTCACAGTAACCATCAGTTCGGATCTATGGTCCGATCAGTTCGGTCACGCATCTTTGCCGTGAACCAGGATCCGGATCAGCGGGTTGATCATCACGTAAACACCGAACCGCGCGCCCCTCTCTTCTTCTCCACTTACCGGATTTAAAAAACGCCGCTATGTCGGCCGCCTCCTTAGATATGTCCTCTCCCTCCCCTGAACTCATCCTCGGATCAATGATTCTCCCTCAACAAAACTCCCCAAAATAACGGGTCAGTGTCGATTTTCCGAGATCAAGTGACTGATCAGGAATAAATCCTCTTCATTGGAAAGCAAAGAGTGGCTTGCGGGGATTCGTTCCTGTACTCGCTGAGCGCGGACCCTCCATCTTGGCTTTAGCTCGCTGGAGAGGTGTCGGTACCGATCGGCGGCGCTCCTGAGTTTCAGCTGGTAGAGAGGAGGAGGAGGAGGATGAAGGGAGTGAGAGGGGAGGTCTTCTTCAAGAAGGGGGTCTCCAGGAATCCCCTACTAACCGACCCCCCACCCAACACACACACACACAAACACACAGGTCACCTCAGCAATATCACAATGCTGTAGCTTTTTGTTTATTAAAAAAAATTACAAAACGTCAACAAGCACATTTAGGATGCTTTTTCCATTCATTTACAAAAAAAATGTAAATTCTATTTAGCCTACAAGACATAATTCCATCAAATGAAATAGGCTACTAAATACTTTCACGGCAACTTGAATAGCCTATATGAGTGAACTTTTATTTTCAAAAAAAGTCAAAATTTTCACAGATATTCAATTCAGTTCAAGTTTATTTGTACAGCGCTTTTCACGATACAAATCGCTGCAAAGCAACTTTACAGCAAATTAAGTTTCTACAATATTTAGTGGTAGCTTATCAGTGGTGACTGTCAGTTAATGTACATATGGCAGAAATGTACGGAAAAATCCATTCAAGACGTAATCAAACAGACGATGAACACTATTAACAGCAATTATTATATGATGCAATCAAACTTATAGCAAAATGTGGTAGTTCTGTATGTTGGATCTTATGCATATGAATCTCATGCATACGTTTTGCTAAGTAATTTTCATAAAAAAAAGGTCGATATAGGTGAGCTTGGCAGTAGTGAGGGTCTCATGGGTTAGGACAACATACTGATCAACAAAATAATATACTTTATTACAAATTTGCTTTGCTGCAATTGACTGAATTACAATCAAATTCAGCAGTCACAGCAGATAGCCTACTTTTTTGTCATTTCAGTTCTGAAAGAGCATAAATACATTTATAAATGATGGTTTGCTGATATATTTCTGATAAATTCACTACTATGTAAAATCAAACAAATTACCAGATTTTAAATATACCATACGCACAAGTTTCTGTGTGTGGCTTTTTAAGCACTGATTATCAACATCATTAAATGTTTACTGAACCCACACGTTGTGTGTATTTAATGCATAATTTACGTGCAAATGCAATGCAATTATTAGTTTTAAAAAAACAACAACTATTCGTCCAGCTGCGTAATATTCATCATTATCATCATCATCAAAAAAATATTGCGGTCATCACAGACAACTTTTCACAAAAAAAAATAAATAAATAAACAATTACCAAAAAAGGTGATGGTCGAAGCCTTTGCTTATTATGCCTACCCTTTATACATATGATGAACGTAAGACATTTCCAAAAATGTACATACATAATTCCACACATAGCCTACATAATTACAAATATACACATTTTAGCTATTACTTAAATATTTTAAAGAATACGTACACACATTACTCATATTGAGTCATATAATTATTTATCACCTTGTTTGTATACATTTTCTGAAATTTGCAAAGTGAAATACATCATTTTACTTCCTTATCAAACTTATTCAATAGATGTAAGACCCCTTTGACAGATATACGCCTATTTTTGCATTAGTTCTTGCTCTTACTTTTATGAAACACATTCCTTTTAGTTTATAGGCTACGTACTTTCTCTTATTTCGAACAGCCTCTGGATACAAATTGGAAGTGAATTATATATTGTTATATATTGTTTCAATATTCACCCATCTGTTCACTGACATGTTACAATGTAGCATGAAATGATGTGAGAACTGAAACAATTGGGCCCTCTAGTGAAAGTGCTCAGGAGTTACAGTCTACAGTGGAATTAGAATAGCGCCCAAAGAACACGACCTCGGGACAGACCCTTCACAATCACAGCAACCGCACTACTTTTAGTAGTTAATGGTAGCTAAATTTCTAAAACAGGAGTTATTTGATCTCTAAATCTGACGGCCTGCGTTTGAGTAATATAAATCTGCTGCCTTTAGATGATTCGGCCCCAACATTCCTGAACATAACGTTGTTAACATTACAGAAATGTATCGTAGGCTATAAACATTAGAAACCGTTCATGCAGCTTAAAGTCGTTTAACCCTTTAACTGTCACCCGTCCCCTCTGTGGGACGCCTAAGTTTACTTCACTATATTACAATTAAATCCTAATCTAATCATGCCAAACTATATATCGTTGGAAAGGTCTAAGACTCCTAAATAATATTTTACAAAAACATTGGTAAAATATCTATGTCTAAAGTCTTCTTCGTTGCCTTTTTCTCTATCACGCTTTAGAAATCATCAGAAATGATATATCAATTGGAAACTTTAAATCTCAAAATTCATCCTTTGAAACCCATTTTAAGATCAAACATTGCATTACCATGAAAATGGTACATCAATATCATGTTATAAAATGTTTTCGTTCATGAATTATACAAATTTAAGTTTGGATCGTGCACTTTCAAGTCTATTTTTAAAAATGTGAGTGAAAGTTAAATGGTTAAATAGCAAAAAAAGGCGTGTATTTATGGGTTCCATTTGCGGGATCAGTGAAATGGAAGTGAGACTTTTGTTCTCTGGTCTTACTGCACCGGGGCACTTTCATGTTACCCCTAAAACGTTACCCCTGACGTCGGCATCTCCATGGCAACTGCCAACAACACTTTATAGTGGCGAAAGTAAAGTGTTGTCTGGGAGGCGCGTTCACAGCATACACTAAAATCCTTCTGGACGGCAATAAGACAGCGTGCAAAATGTGCATTTAGCTTTAAGATGAGATTTACATACCTATAAACTTCTTAAAAGGTCAATGGGAAGATCATGGCTTTGAGTTACCGGTCAGTGAAGTCAAACATCAGGTCCAGAGGATCTCATCAGCCCTCTGCCCCAGTGGACAACATTAAGGAGATGCAGGTCTGCTTGATTTCAGTTAACACTTCATCTCAGCCATTTATCACCTCACACTCACGGGCTATTATTTTATGTGTGTGTTTGTGTAATCTCAATAATAAAAACATGCTCAGGATAAATTATGTATTTGCATGTCTTTCTTTCTTTCTTTCGTTCAATTGCTATTTTAAAATGTTTGTGAAAGTCTTTGAAACAACATATAATGCACACTTGTTAGGTCTTCTAATCCTATAGTCTACTTCTGGGATTTCAAATCGTGATTAACCTATTTTTAAGTGTGTGTGTTAAGTGTTTAAATGCCGCTTAATGAAGTTTGAATGAGAAATGGCAGCTGTTTATCGTCAAAAAACATTTTTATGTTGATGTTGTTGTTATTTAAAATAGCAGCAACTGTAAAGTGATCATAACTCATTGCATCTTTCTTATAATAATAGACTAATAATGTTGTCAAATGCAAACAATTTAGAAAAACCCTGTTACGCATTTGGAAGTAGCTTTCAGATTCCAATTATATAATTTATTTTGTTTATTTATTTATGTATTTATTTTTCCAAATGTTTTACAGAACACCAGATGGCGGTAAAACTCTGTAGCAAAATTTCGAATCGACTAGAATAGAATCTTTACATGCTGTTGATACTGGTCTGGTGGAAAATAGGTAAGTAGGTAACGTTACTGCTTAAGACACACATAATACAGGGTGTGAATGTGCAAATACTGAGTGTAATGTACATGCAATATGATATTCACAAAATAATAGGCTACTTTGTACAATATGCAATACCGTCCTTCACACAGAAATTAATCTGTATATCATGGGGAGCGGGGGGTAAAATGAATGTGGACAGCATATAGCTCATATAATCTGGTTTTGGAAGAATTCATATTCATACTTTATATAACAAATATATTGATACACACTGCAACAAAGCTAGAAGTTGAATTATCAGGAATGTCATTGTATGATGATTACTAAGAGCTGTCACATTATCATGGCAACTTGTAACTGTTTTATGTTTTGGCCAATTTGTTGGGACTTTGTATCTCATTTGCGCATTTTCATATTATCTGCTTACACCCCACTGATGACTACGTTTAGGGGTGGACCTTCAGGCTTAGGCTTTGAGAGCCAAACCATGTTAATTAGGATGTCCATATACTTTTGACCATAATTTGTAGCGTTCAGATTGAATTCTCTAATTGTGACATTGCTGAGATTTTATTGCTGTCTAAATGAAGAGACAAGTATATATCCTTCCATGGTGGCCTGCAATTAATTTCTTCTGTAATGGTGTAGAAAATGAAGAAAACCAAGAACAGCTCAGTCAGCAATTTTCACATATTCAGGATTTAGATCTGCAGACCCATATATCCCAGTTAATGAATGCCTAAGCATCAGCCCCAATGCATTTTGGGATTGCATGGACGTTTTGTATGCAGCAAGCAAGTTCTCCTTATTAAATGACAAATCACCTTTGATTGCTTACAGTTGTGCAATTAGAGGTATCTTAGAAAAGATCGATTCGATGTAAATGTTCTTTACCTTGGTTCTTGTTTGTGCTGATGGAAAGCATTATTGTATTTTGCACAAACGATTTTTCTTTTAGAGAAGGTCTAAGAGTGCCCGTTAATGAGACCTAGAGCCTGACTCAGTACTTGTGGATAACAAGTGGACTGAACTCTGCCTGTGTGTGCAAGTAAAAGTGTGTGTGATGGGGTTCATATGTATGTTCTCCACTTGAAAAGCCAGTTTGCAGATCCTCTGCATAATTCAGCAGGAGGGTCTTGTTATACAAGCCCGTTGTAATAGGAAAATCCTGTTAAAAATTCAGTTATAGCCACAGTGAAATGTTGATG